CGCACGGGAACAATGTTCAGCTTGGCCGCAATCATAGAGGCGCGAATGGCCAGCGACACCTCCTTGCCGACGCGGGCGCCGACACCAATGTGGCCATTGCCGTCGCCAACAATGTTGAAGGCCTTGAAGCGCGTGCGCTGACCGGCTGACGTCGCCTTCTGCACAGGGACAATGAGCATCAGCTCGTCGCGCATTTCACTCTCACTGATGAGCTGGTCCACAATCTGATGCTCCTTGATGGGCATCGAGAAGAGAAAGATCTCCTCCAGTGAATTGATCTTCTGCTCCTTCACAAGGCGCCCAAGCTTCGTGCAAGGGACCCACTCCTCCTTCTCGTTGCTGCCACCGCGACCACCGCGGCCACCACGGCCACCACGGCCGCCGCGTCCACCACGGCCCCGGCCGAAGCCGCGCTGTTCACCAGAAGGTGCGGGTTGGGCGTCAGCCATTGTTACGTTGCACTAGCAGCTGAGCAAAATTAAAAAAAAAAAAAGTGATGTATAAACATACAATTCTTCACAAATGATAACTGTTCAAAAATTAAAGAAAGGGGTCGCGCACACATCTATTTGTATTAGTTGTATATTTGTATGGATTGGTTGGTGTGTTTTCCCTTTCCCAGTGCGTTGATTGTCGTCTTTCACTGTTTGATTTCTTTTGAGGTTAGTGGGCATGGTTTAGTTTCTGTTGCGCTCTTGTGTGTGTGTAGTTGGCGTTCCACGCCATTTACAATCGACAAGGTTTCCCTGGACGAATTCGCTTCCTTCGCTTGCTGTGGTAAAACACGGCGTCCGGTGTGGTTCGCTTCTTTGAGCACCGCAATTTCTCCCAGTTGAGAGAAAAAGTCGCTTCGTGCGGGCCGCAAAAGACACCCATAACCTTATGAAGGAGACTTTGGTCCGTCCAGCGGTGCTTAAAGAAGCCGTCACGGTACTCGTTTAGGTAGGCCGTCAATTCCCGTACCGCAGGCTGAAGAAAAAAGTTAACGGACCCCACAACAAAGTTGGTGTAATATGTTCTGTCATCAGATAACCACCAGTCTTGGCTAGCGCTCACTGCCTGTGTGTTGTGACTTCTCAGAAACTTCCATATCGCGTCCTGCAACTCGTCGCTGCAGCCGTGACCATTGTAGGTGTAACCGGTGTGTCCCAGCAGTCGACCACTTGACAGGAGCAGATGCACGAGATTGTTTTGCAGCCGCAAAAAAAATGCCACGTCAACGTCTAGCTTCACCCAGAAACTGTAGCGCCGCACAATCGGCTGATCAAAAAGTGCGTGCGAATACCATCGTGTGCCTTGAATGTACTCCGGCGGCGATCGGTGCAGCGGGCAGAACGGTGGACAACCACAACGCAACCACGTCGGATCCTCCAGCAGCGACCTGTTTGCCTGAATGTAGAGTGGAAAGGTCACGTTCACGGGAACTAAACGAAACACAAACATTGGCTGCACTGACGGCAAATAAAAATATCCATCCCCCAGGGACGCCCACTCCTCTGCTGTCAGGGACACATCTGCAGCGACGTCAGCCCGCAAATTGCGGAATTGAATTTCAAGGGAAGTCAATTGCCCCGTGGAAGCCTTTGCGAGGCCGAATGTCTCCACCAACCGCGCAGCAGTTACCGTGGAATAAGCATAGAAAATCACCATATCCACGTTGCCCTGTGCCACCAAGAAGTTATCCATCCAAGTAGGAAGAGTCTCTTTCAACCGCCTCACACCATGATACTGTAAACTTGTAAGAAGCAATGCAAGCAGCGCACGGCCGTTTCCCGCCAATTCCTTCGACGACGCGTTATATAAAAAACGTGTGCATGCCGATGCTTGCAAGGAAGGGGCAGACTGCAGACCGATCGGGTGGGGAAGGAATACCTGAGGGTGATTCGTCACGTGTGTGCTACCCGTCGTGTCATCCGTCACGAATTCTCTAACTGTGGAGTCAAGCAACAAGAACAGCGTTAAGGCACCAAGAAGGCCAAAGCAGGAGAGGCTATGCCGCCGCATCTCCGTCACTTACACAAGCAACAAGATGAGAGAAAAAGCACTCCTCACGTACAGGTTGACGCCCACAAGAATGCAGAGACCTCGTTGCTCCGTCCAGCCAAAATTCTCCAAAATCAATGCAACCGCATCCATACACAGAAATAGACACATTATATATATATAATAAAAAAAAAAACACGACAGCTCGAAGCGTTTTTCCCACCCATTACTTCGCAAGACGACAACTAACGGGTAACCCAGGGGAAAACGAAAACAAAAAAAAACTTTTCCACTGCAGAACCATTTCTGCTTGCTTTCCCCTATTTTTGTTTGTGGTTTTCTTGTACAGAGATATCCCAGGATCCAAACCAAAACAAAAAAAAAATAGTAAGTCGTAGTCAATAGTAAAAAAGAAAATAATTAAAGAGCTGTCCTCACTCCTCTCCATCGGGGAAAAAGTCATCAGGATGCCCACCAAGGCGCTTATCCTCATTGAGGCCATCGATTTTATGCATTTCCTCCTCACTCAGCTTAAAGTCCCAAACATCAAAGTTTTCTTTAATGCGATCCTGATGTGTGGATTTGGGGATTGTCACAATACCGTGCTGAAGGTCCCAGCGGATGATGACCTGCGCTGGGGATTTACCGTGCCTCTTGGCTATCTCCTCAAGCACAGGGCTCCGCAGGATGCCGCTCCGCGCCCCTTTGCCAAGTGGCGACCAGGCGATGACAGCAATGTTGTGCTGCTTGCAGAACTCCCGTACAAGATGCTGCTGAAACTGGGGGTGGAGCTCCACCTGGTTCACCATCGGCCGGACCTTGCAGCTCTGGAAGAGTTCATTAAGGTGATGCGGTTCAAAGTTGCAAACACCAATTGCCCGCACCTTTTTATCCTCGTACAACTTTTCCAGCGCCTTCCACGTCTCAACAAATTTTTTTTTCCCCGGCCAGTGAATTAGATAGAGGTCAATATACTCCAAGCCAAGCAGCTCACGGCTACGTTCAAACGCTGCAAACACCTTGTCGTAGCCATGGTCTGAATTCCAGAGTTTTGTCGTTACCCACACCTCCTCACGCGGCACCCCCGCGTCACGGATCCCCTGTCCCACACCCTTTTCATTTTTGTAGAAGTATGCCGTGTCGATGTGGCGGTAGCCCGCCTCAATCGCCTGCCGAACTGCATTCGCAGTCTCGGCCCCGTCCTCCGCCCGCCAGACACCCAAGCCAAGCTGCGGAATCCGTACACCGTTATGAAGCGTCACGCAGTCGTACTTGCAATCCGTCATGACCCACTGTATGTATGCGTTGCTTGATGATGTGTCAACCCAATATATATATGTCTTGTTTTCCTTCCTTTCGTTCAGGCAATAAGTTCGTCTTCTATTTACACTGGGCATTCAAACAGGCACGCATTCAAAAAAAAAAAAGTTCAAATAGTCCAAATAGTGTTCCAAACGCAGGAATATGCACGTGCCAGCCGTCAAAGACACGGACACAAAAGAGCGTTCCTCGTGCAAAAAAAAAAAAAAGAAAGGGGAAAAACCCCCTCTGGTGGGTTAATTTCCCACCCACTCCCCCGCCTCCACTTCGGGGTTGCTAACACCACCGACACGTGTACATAAGGTTTCTCACAAAAATTGAGACTGATAGGCGAGCTACAATTCTCTAGTCTTGACTGTACATACAGAGAACAGACACACACACGCATGCCAAGCAGGCAAAAAAAAAAAGAGGCCAGTCACATTATGCCTCACAAGTCGCTATACTAGCATCCACTCGTGACATGTGGCGCTGAACAATAAGTGCCTCCAGTTGACCAAGCGGGTCCTCGGCATCCACCGCGTCGTCAAAACGCTTCAGTACACCAAAGTCTACAAACAAGAGTCGTGGCATCTGGCGGACCTTTTCTTGCAGTTCGGGGAGATATTTTTCCATCAGTAACTCGCGACTCCATATTGACAAGCACATCAACTCGGATGCAGTGTCACACAGTAAATCCATCAACCCAAGCAACTCGCTTAAACTGAAAGGATTGTCCGAAATAACAAGACGACGAAGCGGAATGAGTACAGCAGACGGAAGGGCATCCGCTGACTTTATTCCGGCCTTCCGGATGCTCAGTGAATGTAGTATGGAGGATTCAAATGATGCAAACGCAGACGCCACACCCGAGGAGCCAAGTTCTGTTTCATCAAGAACAAGATTCTGCAAAGTTCCCTGGCATCTATTAAGAATGCGGGCCAAAGAGACCCCTCCACTCTCGCCCTGCAGGTTATTTCGTGACAGTTGCAACTCCTTCAGCGTGAAATTCATATCTGACCGTATGGCATCCGCCCACTGTGTAAGGTGTTCTGCCGTCAAACCATTTCCGTTCAGATGCAGGACATGAAGTCGGTAGCAGAGTTTCGTCAACAACTCCACCTCATCAGCAGCCCAGCACTGCGCAAGATCATTGTGGCCTAAAAGCAAGGTGCTGATACCAGTCTGTGAAACAGACTTAAGCAACTCCAGTAAACATGAGGGCCTTGATAGCATGCTGACATCCACTGCGTATCCCGTTGCCTTGATCACGGCGGGGTCCATTTGGTACGGAGACTCATTGAATCCCATACAATTTCCCTCCAATGAAAGGGAATGGAGTGTCGTGTTGGACGTTAAGGCCTTTGCCAAAGCACGTATGCTTTCCGGATAGAGACTATTGTACGCGAGATCCAGTACCTTGAGCGTCGAATTTGTCGAGAGTGCCCCAAAGAGTGCGATGCAACCAGGAGAGACGTACTGCGGAACATCCACACGCCTCGCTGCCTCTTTCTCTTCCTCTGCATCTTCCTCGGCGGCACTCAGCGCGACACGCCTTCTAGCAAAGTGGTTGTTTCTCAGCAACAAAACCTCCAAGGACTGATTTTCACGGAGAACCTCACCGATACGTCTGACTCCCACACTCCCAATTTGGCAACTGCAAAGGTCAAGTAGACGGATCGACTGCAGACCGCGTTTTGTAGGAGGAAAGGGCATCTCCCAGCTCCCACGTGCCTCCTCCAACTGTGCTGCATCTTCCTCTGCGAACTCGTCCACATCGTCGAATAAGTCGGCGTCCCCTGCTACATGCATCATCGCAGTCTTTTGAGCATCATTATTTTCCTCATCTTCAGCATTTTCCAAATCGTCCTCTTCGTCTTCATGCTCAGCGTCTACAACCATAGTCACGACTGAAGGCCGAAAGGAAAGGGCTGAAGGTGGCACAACGGCACCATGACCCTTCTCTGTGCGCGTCGTCTCCGCTAAGACTGCTTTAAGTGCAGACCAGGCAGTGTGATGGTCGTTTAACAGCCGTCGTCGTTCATTCACTTCTTCGGTGAAGACCTCTCTCCTGCCTGACAACAACCCGGCAAGAAGTTCATCTGCCTTGTCAGTGAGTTCTGCTTGAATACGTTCCACTTCTTCCTCTCCCAGACTCACCTCATGCCGGAGCACGGCCGCCACACCCGTTGCTCCTTCGTTCCCGATGGAGTTTCCCCGCAGCCGAAGCACCTGCAAGTGCGACCAGCCACTGCGGCGTTGGCAGTATTTCTCAATCTTGGCACGCCGCTCATCTGCAAGTTCGGTCCGGATGGCCTCGTGCTCCTTCTGTAGCACAGTCGCCTCATTGACGTATGTAGTCACGCAATCAACACGCCGTTTCTTTTCCTCGCGCAACAAACTCTGAAAAAGACGCTGAAACTTCTTCACAAGATGAGGAGGAAGTTTCTCTTCTTCCTCCTCTTCTTCTTCCTCATCCTCCTCTTCTTCCTCACCCTCCTCTTCTTCCTCACCCTCCTCCGCCCGCGCTTCTTTGCCTTCACCTTCATCCTCTTCTTCATCTTCTTCCACTTCTTCCTCCTCATCAGATGACTGTTTCGTCTTCCGCTTCTCTATAGTGCCTTGTTGAAATGCATTCTCCAGTCTCTCCTCCGCTTCCTCTGTTTCTTCTTCTTCTTCTTCTTCTTCTTCGTCCCCATCCGGGTGGGGAATAAAAAACTCTAGATCGTTGAGAACATCGCTCTCCGCCTCCTCGTCCCCCACCTCGTTCTCCGCGTCTGGAAGATCCTGCGGCGTGAACCTCGTGTCGGAGGCAGCCAGCGCCTCCAATAGCAACAGTGCGCTACTCCCAGAAATGTTGTTGTAGTTGAGATTAAGTTGAAGCAGGAACTTGTTTTCCTTCAGGTACTCCGCAAGGAAGGGAATGACCTCGTCCTCACTCCCTGCCTGTCCCAAGTCGTTCCCCTCCATGTTAAGCACCCGTACCGTCGAAGCCTTGAGTAACGGCATCAAGGTCGTTGCCACCTGAACAAGTGCCGTGTGCGGGACATCTAGTACGGCGAGATTCCGAGCTGCTTGTAGAAACTCCTCAAACACCAAGTCTTCGGTGTCCTCCTTGAACTCCCCCGCAAGCGTAACAGAACGTAGTTGTTCCAACATGCGACGGTTGACGTTTAACGCCTCAAGCACGTCGGTGAGGAAAACTGTCACTGCAAACGAGGGCATCAGTGTCATACGCCGCATGCTCTGCGATATACTGTAGTTTTTCCGTCGAGACTCCAAGCGCATTACATTGGTAATAAAACCCACGATCTGGTCAGCTGGCAGCTGTACATCAGGAAGTGTCTCTAATTCTGATTGTGTCTTCAGAATATGCGAAGCATAGTATGCGATGACAGGCATTTCTTTTGTTACTAGACTCTCAGCCTCATCCTCTGTGTGTGCCACAAGTGGAATATCTGCATGGTGAAGGGTAAGGACGGAGGGGTCCTCGAAACTCGGCCAATAAGCCATATTGACCCTCGAGGCAACGACACAGGCATTGAACTTGGAAATACAGGAACCCAAACGCTGTGTTAGCTCGGTGGACAACTGTTTCACAGAAGCACCACATTCGGCGGCAACAGCCGCATTTTCCTTTGTGAATTTCCTAGACTGCGATGAAATGTTGAAGTCATGCATAGTAGCCTTCCTGTTTAGATGTGTCTTATCCAGCTGCAGAGACGCATCCCCGTTCAAGGCGGGGCACCATGTACGCGTCATCGTTGCTCCACTCTGTAGCCTCTTTGAAGTTAAAGGGAGATGTACGCCAAATATATATATATATAAATGACAAAAAAAAAATTGAGGGAATAAACAACAAGAGCAACAGCAACGAGAAAGAGAAATAGAGAGACGAATTACAAGTTGTGCATTGGCACTCATATAAAATGTGCGCAACAGAAAGCAACCGTTTTGTTTGTTTGTGCGTTTGCGTAAAAGTGGGGGGCTAGCTTTTCGACCGCTTACGTTTGCAGGCGAGGCGCTGCAGCGGACGCAGCCGTTGCCACTGAGCAACTTCATCTGCTTCCGTGCTGAGAATCAGTGGTACCTGAAAACTGTCCTCCCCACAGAACCGACACGTAGCATCTGCCGGTGCAGCGGCACAAGTGGAGTCACCCACCCCACTCTGCTTTACGGCCGACTCAGAGCAGGAAGCCGTACATACGACGTGTCCACATCCCCAAAATCCAATAAACTTGTGAAGCCCTGAGGCCGCCTCAAACCCGCTTAAGGGGCATCGGATACAAGGCCGCTCGCCGTCCTCCACGCTCCTAATCTCACACACGTCCGAAAGCTTTGTAATGACAGGATTCTCCGCCTGAGATTTTTCCTTGGTTGTGTGCCGATGCCGCTGTTGCAGCAGCTCGTCTAGTACGGCCCGCTTGGAATACAAGCGGCCACAGAGATCAAACACAATGGGAGTTTCCAAAGGCTCCAACGAGAGGGCGCAATGTGTCCACCGCTGCACCCTCCGTTCCTTTTCAGTCTGCGTCACACCCGAATCCTTTCCTCCCTCCGCCTTCCGCAGCTGTTCGGCTGTGACGAAAACCTTCGAGTCCTCTAAAAGTCTACGCTTATTTGCAAGTGCCTGACCATCCCCTCCCATTGATTGCTGCTGCCTCAAACTAGTGGGGGGACATAAAAAAAGGACGGGTGAGAAACCAAAAACAGCGCATAAAAGCAAAAAAAAAAAAACTATCAACACCCAGAACAAACATGTAAAGGCATCAAAGAGGAATCCACATATCTAGACGCAGAGACATATCATATATACATATACATGGGCCTAGAAGCATCGTCAATTTCTTGAAGAAACAGGTATATATCGTTATACCTCTTCACATATCGCACACCTTCATTGCGTACAGAGTGGGAAGCATTGACAACCGCTTAGTCTTTTGCCACTATCCTTGGCGTTGTAATCCCCCAAGCTTAATTTCAATAAGGGGCAGGAAGTCGCAGGGGCGTCATAGTCGTAATGTACAACGACGTGATGCGTCATTTCACCATCGGCCAGTGAAGTAGATTGGGCAGGTTCGTGCTCCAATAAAAAGGCCTCAAACAGAGTTTGCCTCACATCGCGCACTATTAGCCCAGGCTCCACGCGACCCAACCACATGCGAAAGCCGCAGGTTGTTGTGCCACCGTGACACTCAATAATTTTCTGTTGCACTGCAAACAGCTCCGTGTTTACATCGCAACTAAATTCGCCATCAAAAAATGGCATTCCAACCATCCTGTGGCGAACTATGACTTTTGTGGAGCTTCTAGTGGAAGCATCTTCCGGCATCTAGAAACAACTACCTCCAAAACTGAAACACCGACAAATAGCTAATATATATATATATATTATTTATTTATTTACTACACAAAGGCATATCAATACGCAAGTTCCTTCGTAATTCATAAAGCACCAGAATCCCCCCATGGCACCCTCCCTGCGTAAATATACGTATACTCAAGAAGTAACTCATCGGCATCAACAATAAGCCACCCAGAGCACCAAATACCATAGAGGAGAAAGCGAAACAAGAAGCTTATATATATATATATATATATATCTCCATCAAATTACAAAAGAAAAAGCTTAACTGTTGGCATTGTTTTGGGATGCGGTTTCCCGGCTAGAGAGCCTTGACTCCAATAAGGACATTTTTGCATCCAATGCATCCAGTCGCGTCCAAAAATTTCTTTCAATTCTTTCTAGGGATTTCATGATACCCATCAATATTCCACTCACAGAGGGCTGCCGCGGTTGCTCTGCTCCCTCACTGCAAAAATGAAAACGGCTTGCGCTAGACCCCATCAGAGAGCCTTGCTCAAATGAGGAATGCAAAGAAGCTGCTGATCGGCTAAAAGGAAGAGGTTCCAAGAAAATCACTGGATCCCAAACGACTCGAAATAAATGAAGCGAGTTCACTTCACTACTATAAATACTCAGTTTCCAGCGTTCATGCGGCCCACTGCGCTGGCATTCTTCCGTACAATACAAATCTGCTCGTTGATACACAGCACCTTCATGCACAAGTGTTTTTTGACTAGAAAGACTTCCCGCCCAAATATGTCCCAAAAAAGAAGTACCACCTGAAGCCACTTCCCTAGCACGGGTAATGTATGTCATGCCATTCCACGAACTACTCGGATGCTGAGCTAGTATACCAATGTAACACTTTTGCAGCTCCTCATTAGTGGTGTCAAGATTGCACAGTAGTCCCAGAACATCACGCTCACCAATCAGGTTAAAGTTGCCCCAATACGGGGTTTTACAGTCAGTATTACCTTGCTGGGGAGAGACACACGCAGGAAATGTGTAACGTTTACCCCCGTCGTGCATAATTGAGGCATTCTCACTAGAGCAGGTTGAACTCATTAACTGAGGCGCCGTATCTGGAGGCTCCGGACCATACTTGCCGGTCAGTGTCGCAATAAGTAGTTCCTCCTTCCCTTTGTAAGCTGTAAGGTACTCTTCAATGCGGTCTATTTTTTGGGGATTATATACCTTGTAAAACCTGTAGAGCCTCTGATAGAGGCCGTGACGTATACCCTCGTCAGCGTCAGCATGTTGCTCCTGATAATACCCTGAGTTACTCTCACGAGATTCCCACGCACTCTCGCTAAAATAAGAGTAGTTTTTGGAATTCAATCCGCGCGTGGTCTGATGAGCAGCGCTTGGGTGAAACGAAACTGCCTTTGACAACTGCGCCACCACATCTGGAGATGAGTCATTCTCCTTCGAGTCCTGTCGGGTTGACGTGGTCTGAATCATCCTCTTCAGCTTGAAAGGGCACCAGTGCCTTCCCTACTCACTCCTTTTTTCTTTTTCTCTTCCGAAACTCGCTTCGGCAGCTCGCCCCCACCCCACCCCACCCCCCTTCGCACCCAGACACACACCTGTTTTTGCAAACCATGTGAGACCAACAACAATAATAATAAACATAAAAAGGGACGAGAAGCGCACCTGGGTTGTCAAAAAAACTGGCGCACCAACACGGATGCACACAGACAGTTTGCAAAATAATCAAAAAAAAAAGTTCCACGCAGTTTAAACGATTTACCACAACAACAACTACCACCACTACTTCTACCATGTCTTCCCTCTGGCCCATCTTCTCTTCTTTGCAGACCAGCATCGTTGGAGTAGAGTAGACACGTCCCTCTCTGCTTACCATTATCAGTATTATTATTATTACCAACTACTCCATTCATTTCCCTCCTTGTTGTGGTTGTTGTTGTTGTTCTAAGCAAGCATCATTGCTGGTGGTGGGAAGGAGAAGCAGAAAAGAGTCCCGAGGAATTCATTACCTCAATACTCCTTGAAGACGAGGTCCAACGGGTTCTGCTCTGGTGGCGGATTCATCGCCTTATGCATTTCAGATTTTATCTTAATGGCCTCGTTCATTTGCACCTTCTCAAGACGGCGCGTCTTCCTGTCCCGACGCTGTTCCGTTGGCGTCTTTGCCAACTCGCTCTTCCAAATAACACTACCCTTGCAGCAGCCGTTAAGAATGGCTGCTGGCTCAAGTGTGAAGCGCGGCCCTATCTCCAGCAGAGACAGCGGCTCACTGTCCACAATTTGGTAGTGGCGAAACCATATGTGATGATCCAGATAAAAAAAGCAAACCATATGATCAACAAATGGCTTAGACTTTGGGTGATAGCGGGGTGTGTTAAACGTCATCTGAAGTAGCGACTTTACCACCCGCTAGGTGAGGCTGTGTCTCGAATTCCCGGTCAAAGTGGATGAGAGGACGACTGTACTTCAAACAATTTCCAGCCATACGAAGTTCATCGGCGGTGTGCACATTCGTTAATTGCAGCTTTACACTAGGGCCGTGTGGGGCCTGGGTAATCCACATGTAACTAATATCATGTCGATGAGCCTCAATTAAAAGGGAACTATTACATTGATGCAGCGAGCAGAGCTCAACCAAATCATCCCCAAGTTTTTGCGTCTGAGCAATCTTGGAATGTTCTCGCGCGTGCGGCATCAGGCCACGAATGTCATTGAGCAAATGACGATTCTTACCGGATATGTTGCGTGAGCCCAGAACCAGACATTTCTGTCGATTTGTCATTCGCTTGTCCGTCGTCGCACGTTTTAGCTGCATCTTTCCTACCATGGACTCTTCCTTCTCGCCTCCGGTCGCCGGCAAACTGTTTACCTCCTCTTTCGCGGTTTCATTGTCCTCCAACCGCTGACGTTTCGTTGCCCTCGTCATTGTATGCTTCGCCCTTTGCGTCGCCGATCCCTTTTTGTGGTTATTGTTGTTGTGAGTATGTCGGGCACTTTCCAAGCCTATTCTCTCCCTTCGCCAAGCGACAGAAAATAAAGATTTGAAGACAAGAGAAAAAAAACCAATGAAACAAAAACAAAAAAAGAATAATTTACAGGAAGCCGATCTAGCGCCACCAATGCATCCCCCAACACGCCCAACACAGGGAAATCAACAACAACAACAACGCGGAAGTTCGCGGCGCCCCACTGGGAGTGGCATGAGCATGGGAGGATACAAGAACAGCAACAAGTAGACTTGTACCCTGGCGATGCAACGATCATGTCACCGCACTGTGCCAGCCACCATCTTTTTGGTGGACTTCACTGAGCCGGCAGGAAAGTGAGAGGAGTGGAGAACGGGTTCCCTAGATGACATTGAACTGTACAAGGAAGAACCCCACGAGGGAAATGATAAGCAGACAACAACACATATTCAAGAAGGTGTTCAGTGGCTGTTTCTCCCTCATAAATTTACCAATACGGCGGTTAATATTACGTAACTTATTCACTTGAGCATCCATCGTTTGCTCTGTCTTCTCCAACGTCTGCGCCTGCATGTCAATCTGTACGCCAAGCTCCAGCGCCAGGTTGTGCAACCTACCCACTCCCGCCTTCAGTCGATCCAGCCCTGCATCAATTTCGGCATCCTGTGCTCCAATGACCTTCATAGACTCTCTTGTCTCCTCATTATCCTCTAACCGGCCTCCACCCACGGCATCATCATGCAATTCAATCTCCTCATTAGGATCAGCGTGACCACCTTCACTCGTTCGCTGCCGACGAAGCATCAAAAGTTGCTGGCGTAACTGCGTCTTGCGTCCAAACTGCATTTCCTGAGCGAGATTTGCACCTTTTTGACCATTTGAATTCCGCTGTTGGTCCAACTCCCGCACTAGCTCGAGCATCGAGAAGCACTCATTGTATTGAGCCACTTGTTCGTCGCGTTGTTTTTCTAGAAGTGCCACTTTTTGTTTATCTGGTTTTTTCTTTCGGTTTGCTTGCGCGAGTGTGGATTCGGTGGCTTCCACATACCTTTTCATCTCCTCAAGAAGCGTCTCCATGGTACGCATGTCCTTCCGGATATTATTCGATTGCTCGATGACCATGCGGTCTTGCCCGTGAAGACTCACTCCTTCGTTGCGTTCCTTGATGAGTTTCTTCGTGCGTGCGATGCAGCGGATAAACGCCAGCGACAGGTCACGCTGCGGATCCGTAGAAGACTCCTCCTCGTTTTCATCTTCGCGGCCAGCCTTCTTTCGTATACGGCGGATGCGCATGATGGTTTCTCGCAACGTGGAGCGCATCAGGCCATCGCTGCTCGGCAAATACTGTGTCATCAGCCACCCTATCCCTCACCCCAACTTCACCTCCTTCTGAAAAGCACACGCCCACGGCAAATACAAGCCCACGACAGAGAAAAAATAATAATAATAATAACCAAATAATAATAATGACAAAAAAAAAAAAAGTAAAAATAAAGAAATAAAAAATAAAAACAATGCCAGCTTCCATGTCTTCGCAGTCCAAAGGTCAATTTCCTTTCACCATGTCCCTTTCCCAAAAAAAGGGAGGAAAAGAAACAACGCAACTGTCATTCCCTGTTTCTGCTGCCCGCTTGAGGAAAATGGTGTGGTGGCAATCAGCGTTCACTGTCAGGCAAGTGGCGTGACACCCTCATTATTAGATATTTAAAAAGAAGCACACGACGTGTATAGCCATATAGGCCACTTCCTATTTTCCGTCGTTGATAGTGGTTCTATATTTTTTTTTTTCCATTTGCTTTGCTTTGTTTCCTTTTTTATCTTTTCCGTTTGTCCTTATGAGAACCCATTTTACCTCTAAGAAAAAGGTGGCTAATCACCACACGTCCCCGCCATTGCCTGGCTGGCGGTTAAATGTTCCAGGGTCGCGGATATGGCGCAGTGAAGGATCTGCAGAATCGTTTTGCAGAATACGGTTGACAGCTTGTGGAATAAAATTCCTCTGTGCTTGTTGCTGCTGCATTGATGGCGGTGGTGCATACGAGCTGTATTGCATCCCCTGGTGGAAGACGCGCGGAGCACGATCCGGGAGTGACCAGTTTGCGTTTGTATAATCCACTGCGTGGCCTGGCTGTGGTCCCCAATGTTGGCCTCGAGTGAGATCGGTGGTTCCACCCATTCCAGCAAATGCCCTAGCTGCTGCCGACTCGGGACGATAAAATTGTTGTTGAAGCTGCGTCGTCGCGGGAGGCGTTGGGGGCTTACCTGCCTGCCCCGAAAAGGTGTAAACCCCCATGTACTCCGTTGCAGTTGCCATCGTGCGAGGGGGCAAATTCACAGACTCCTCAACAATTCTGTCAATGTCAAGCACGTAGTAATTTACAGTAGGCATTTCCTCCACTTCTTCCTCAGGAGGTGAAGGGATAATGGCTTGAACAATAGCAGCATCCTGCTGCATCGTGACATACGCAATGTCCTCGTTCTCATTGCTCTCGGGAGGAACATTAATAGGATCTTCTTGAATATCATGCGCCAGTTCTACAGCAACACTTTCCCCACAAACAACTTCTGCAGCCTCCTCGTAAGAATTTTCCAGTTGCATATTCATGGCCGCAGTATCCGTCTTCTTCCGTACAACATCGGCAAAAGAAAGTGAACTACCTCCCTTCACCCAACTGGTAACAGTAGTCACTTGCATTTTCTGCTGTACAGAAGGCCCGCTTGCCGCCTGGGCACGTTTGGGGTGTGCCTGCTCTGGTCTGCGTCCTACAGACGACTTCCTTGCAGCATCCCCACTGGAGGCATTTTGCCTCTCCTCTTTTGGTGGGCGCTGACGGCTAACTCCCTTCTTATCACCCTTAGACACACCCACTCTGCTCTTGGAGTTCATTGGCACTTACAAACTTTTCTGCAGCCAAACGCAAAGTGTAAATTTGATAGTGTTTAACCACACCAACAGAAACCACAAAAAGAGACAAAGGAAACAAAAAAGGAGAAAGACGAAAAAAAAATACTTGAACCATCAACACTGCAGAAGAACCAAGGAAATCAAACACGCACAGAAAAAAAAAACCTGCCAAACCCAACAGTCAGAGCGCAAGAAGCTTCTGTGACCTTAAAAATTCACTACAGTAAAATAAATTAAAAAAAATGATATCACCGAAATGTTGTGTCAGGAGATACCTACTCACGCGGCTATCATCTTGCCTCCCATGGTGAGGAAGTCCGAGTGCTCATCCGTGGGATCACGCGAGACCTCCGTCTCGGCCCAAAGGTCGGGTGTCAAGAAGCCGTACGTCTTGCGCAGCGCGTAAAATGTCGCCATGATAAAGTTGCCTCGCGTGCGGGTCTTGCCGCAGGAGGACGTGTACACGTCCTCCACGCCAGCAAACTCAAGAATCTTCTTCGGGACGGGGGCAGCGACGATGCCGGTGCCACGCGGCGCAGGGACCAGGCGGACGGCAACAGAGCCGCACTTGCCAGTCACCTTCATCGGGATTGTGTGTGGCTCACCAATCTTGTTGCCCCAGTAGCCGCGGCGCACGGGAACAATGTTCAGCTTGGCCGCAATCATAGAGGCGCGAATGGCCAGCGACACCTCCTTGCCGACGCGGGCGCCGACACCAATGTGGCCATTGCCGTCGCCAACAATGTTGAAGGCCTTGAAGCGCG